ATGCTAATTTATTAGCTTGTACACTTCTATGTACAGACTCTTTCATTTCAAAACGGCGAGACATTTAAAAACAACTTATTTACAAGTACTAGATGTAGGAATGCACCAAACAAACGTTTCCATTTCTGATTCATAGCCTGGCTTTAGGCACTTGAAGACTTTGACATTGTATGCTTTTAAATGCAGCTCTCATACAAAAATGTAAAAATCTCAATTCATCTTTTTAGGCATTAATTTAAAAATTTCCTTTGTCGTGTCTTCCAGATGACCTCTACAGGAGGCCAGTCCCTGTCTCTCAGTAGTAATGTCCCACTGCTGAACTATCAGCCTGGCCTCTACCAGCAGGCCACCATCAACATCCCTGGTCTGACCCAGCAGGGAGTTCCTCTGCAAACCAGACCCACCCAGCTCTGCACCCAGACCGAGCCCTTCCAGCAGACACTTATTGTTTGCCCACCAACCATCCAGGGTAAAAATGATGGGACAGTTTAAACAAAAAGTTATGTTTTCTCTCTTTTTCCACCTATATTTTGTGACCAGTTCTTCATATCTGACATTCGTACAGGTCTTCAAACCTCCAACAAGCCATCTGCTTACCCAGTGAGAATGGAAAACTCAGTACCCTTAGTCCCTCAGAACCAGTCCTCCCAGTCTCTTCACATCCAGCCCAGCATGCTGGCACAGGTAGGATCCTATAAATGCTTAAATTACTAGTATGTTTTACTCATGTTACATTTACATTTACTTTTTTATGATTTAAGAAGGAAATATTGTTAAATTTGACAGCTGTACTTAAAACGTTTAAATGAAATGCCTACAGTTTTCTAACAGAAAATGCTGCATTACAGATCATTTAATGTTATCAATCTTTAAAGCCCCTTTTCCATTACCTACTTGGATCGGCACGCCATGACTTGACTCGGATCGACTGGTTTTCCATTACAATTAAGTACCAGCTAATGTGCGTGGTTGTTGTTATAGCAATGTATCCGAGCATCCTTGGCGTAATTAGTATGCAACACAAACCCTACAGCAAAGGTGGACTTTGAAGCAATGATATTCCAGCTGCTCGGCCTGTGGCTTTTTGCCAGACTTGGGGGAACCACGGTGTTGTTTTTGTAGCATTGCCAGGTTTCAAAAATGGCAGTTTAGATTTTCGTAAATAAGATGCTCTCGTGATTGAGTGACATAACTGACCAACCAATTGGTGGCATGCAGTCTGACAACGTCACCTTTTAGTATATGCTCGGATTGCTTAGAACCGCGGCTGAACAGGTACTATTTTAGAACCTGGTACCAGGTACTATGACTAAATGGAAAACCCTGAAAACCATGGCTCACCTTGGCAAGTCGATCCAAGTAGGTACTAATGGAAAAGGGGCTCAAGTGGTCCTTTGGCTTAAGCCTGTGTCCAGTCAGGCCCTCCTGTCTTGCTTAAGAAATCTTTGATGACATACGTTTTCAATCCAAGGGGACAAGTTCCTTTCCGTTTTTTCTTCTTTTCTACATAATTGTGGGAAACACAATTGTGACTCTTTATTACTAACCTATTAGCCTACTAGCTTACTTATACAGCAAACCTTTGGTGCCACCTGGTGGAAGACAGCAGTGCACGTCTGTGTTTACGCTTCGGTGATTATTGTTGTTACAAAGAAAGCTGTGAGAGAATTCTCTGATAAATTTCATTGTTTTTTGTTCTTATCTCAGATTAACACATTTCAGTTTCACGTTTGCTTGGCCCAGATTCATGTGGCATAAATGCTTGGCATCGTAATCCATGTGAAATGTTTTCTTTTTAAGCTGTTAAATCACTTCTCTTTCCTTTTTAGCAGTTAAAAATACATCTCTCTCTACACACAGCAATAAATCTGAAAACAATATGTAAGCTGAACCCATGCTGCCTTTTATTCAGCTGGCATGTGCTCACTGAGTCTTCTCTGTCAGATTTCTGTTTTGCACTTAACACCTGTTTCTTACAGTTTTTCAGCATGCTTGTGTACTTGTGCTCACACAGCAGGGCTGGCCAGCGGGAACACAGCAGATTCTAATCCCTTCTACGTGGCAACAGATGCCTGGCATGTCCATTCACAACCCGGGGCAGGCTGTGGTGCCAGAGCCACCCATGGGAGCCCACATCTCCGACAGTCAGCAGACTTCAGGCTGGAGGTAGTTTATTCTGATGGTGCTCATTTTTGAGTTAAAATGGAACAGCATTTCTCACAACTGCTTACTTGTACTGAAGTGATATCTCCGTTTTGTAGGGGTCGCCATGGCAGCCAATACGATAGCGTTAACCAGCACGACTCTGGTGCTGGCCGTCATACTGGGACCCAAAACCACAGCTCAGGGGTCGCTCACTCGAGATCCCAACAGGGCAAGAGATCAAAGGCTCGACACGCTGAGAGCAGACCGAGGTATCCTGTCGATCTTTTCCTTTCTCAGCTTATTGTTCGCATATGTTTATATTTGATTTAAGACAGTCAGTGTGCTGCTTATTCTCTCCTCCAGGCCGGTGTCCTCAGTACAATCAGCCACCAATGTGGTCAACAGCACTTCCTTTGCCGGTGACCAGTCTCAGCCCATTGTTATCTCTGACACACCAAGCCCTGCCGTCAGCATCATCACCATTCACAGCGACTCTGAAGATGAGGATGATACAAAGTTTCCTGCTGCCTGGTGAGCCTCGTTTTCAATCTGGTCATCTTATATTGCACTGCTTTTTTTCCTCCAACTTTTAGTAGTGTCTAATAAAAATGTTATTTTTAAAACTTTTTACTCTTCTTCTTTTCTCCTGCAGCTCTGGAACAAGTCAGAGAACCAATGTGATCAGCTGTGTGACTGTGCACGACTCCCATGACTCAGACTCCTCTACCAGCAGCCCTCTGAGCCCCAAAACCTCCTCTCAGCCTACAAAGTCTCTAGCAGTCATCATGCCCTCAGTTAAAAGCCAGCCTGGAGAAAGCACAACCCACAAGGCTCCAGCAGCTTCAGGTCCAAAACCGGTTCAAACAGAGGGGCACATTTAATTTGAAAACTGTGTGCAACATTCTTCTTTGGTTTTGGGGTTGAAAAACATTTAGTTGACATGCCTATGTGTACACGAGCCAGCCTATTGAAAGGCAGCACATAAATGATTGAGCTACAGCAGATGCAAAACTGGATTATTCAACAGCAGTTTAAAAAGAAAAAAATTATGTTTTATTTATTTTTCTGATCTTCTGAGTGCTAACAGTTGGCTGTTTTTTTTTTTTTTTTTTAGATCAAGCAACAAGCGGCTCAGTAAAGTCCAAAAAGGCATCCACACAAGCGTCTGGTCGGTCAGGAGATTCCACAACCGAGCGTAATCAGCGGGCTGCGTCCAGCAGATCTCAGCCTCTGAATCTGAGTCAGGTAACGGCTTTCAACAGCATGATGTTCTGTGCACGGCGTTACTTAGCATTCTCTGGCCAAAGGTATTGTAGACTGACTCTGCACTTCACAGGCCATTCTTGTCTTTCATTTCAGCTGCAGCAGTCTGTGATGCCATCTTCTCACGAGCAAACAGCAAGCAGTAGCTCCCTGAGGAGGCAGCCCACATATCCCCCTCCCGTCTCCTCCCACTCGTCCTACCGGCTCCACGAAAGCACCCTCTTTGGCTCGACGCCAAATCTGTATGCCTACCCGGCCTCTGCCGCCTTGGCCTCGGTGTCTCAGGCTGTAGACCAGATGCAGGGCGGTACATCCCGCCATGGCAGGGCAAGCGGGGCTTACTCCTCTTTAGCTCTGCTTCAGAAGAACAGCAGCTTAGCCCTCGGGGGGTCTGCTCCAGGACAGTACGGCAACAACCATCAACAACAGCAGCAGCAGCAGCAACAGCTGGCAGCACAGCCTTTCCAACGCTCCGGTGCCGCTTACCAGCGAAAACTCAACCAATATCCCTACCTGTGAACACTGATGAAGACCAAACTTAGACCGCGACTAGAGACGAGCACAAGCTCATCACAGGCGACTGTGATCGGACTCTTTTTATTATTTTTCCTTCTTCTTCAACTCAACTGTTTTTTGCCGTCCAGAGTGTGTTACTATTTTAATCGTTGTCAAGTTTTACTTTAATATTCTCTACCTTTGAGGTTTCTTTGCGTCATATGTCACAGGTTAGCGTGCTGTGAGCACACAAGCAGAAGATAAAGCTAAATTTACTTACAGACTGTAATTTATTAGTCACATATCAACCTAATACTTTGATTTTACGAAAGCTGTGTGGAACTCTACTGTTATGCTGCTATATTAATAATCATCATATTCATCAAATAATGGGTTAAATGACACATTTACATATAAACAAATGCCTCACTTAATTATACCATTTTCTTTTAATTTAAAAGTCTGCGCATTGTGATAAGTTACCTTGCTGTGTTTTATGTTTTATTTATGAATGTACTGTATGTATGTGTGTGTTTTATCTGTACTATATTACAAAAGCTAATGGAGACTAAGCAGCGTACTGTACTGTATAATGACGTGTCTGTGTGTTTTTATTGTTTGAGTACTGGCCATTAACTTGACTATATTTGTATGTTTGGTATACTGAATGATGCATTTCTGCATAGAGTAGGTGTATCAGAGACTTTCTTTTGTCTGTTTTTAGTTAATGTTAAGGTTGCATGTGTCTGACATGGAGTAGCATTCAGGGGAGGTTTGTAATCTGCAGCCGCGCTGGTTTGTAGACACATTAGTAATGTTTAATTTGTACGGCAAACACATTAATAATACTGGGAAAATGTACAAGTTCTTGTCTTGTGAAGTGATGTCTGTGGAGTAAAGCGTGCACATAAAATGAAATTGGGTATCGCATACGTAGAAGCTGAAGCCATTTAGATTAAAAAATTCACAGTGCTGCATTTTTAATAGTGAATAATCAAATCTGACAAGGACAATTTATATAAAAAAAAATAAGAATTAATTAATGTTCAGTATGTCACTGCTTCTAAGCAAATCATTGGTTTGGTGAAATGATGGTTGTTCTTCCAATCCTGCTGTGTTGTGAAGTGCTACATTACATAGAACACACAATGAACCTTAACCCGTATATACGCAATAAAAACCTTATTAAAACAGGATCCGAGCCTCGGGTGTGCTTTAAAAACACGATACTTTCACACATTACATACAACAGTGCACAGAAGGCGGCCACTTTGTTAGGAACAACTTTTCAACTGCTTGATTATATTTTATCAACCAATCACGTGGCTACAACTCGGTGCATGTCGGTATGGTCAAGACAACCTGCTGAATGTCAAACTAAGCATTAGAATGAAGAAGAAAGGTGATTTAAATGAGTTTAAACCTTAAAAAAAAGAAAACGCTAAAACTTTAAAAAGGTCCAGGTTAGTTAAAATCAACTGAAAGGCTTTTAGTAAAACCAGGTGAAGATTTAGTTAAACAGGAGCAGCTTAAACATGAGCCCTTTTCCTGAATTCCATCAAGGTTTTTGGGGCAGAGCATAAATTAAGCCTTCAGACTGAAGACGATAAGTTCCCACATGGTTTTGAACATGATAATTACTGAATTGGTCATGTCTGATACAGGCAGTTGGCCAGGGCAAGAAAAAAAGTGAAGGAGAGGAAGGGAATGATGACAAGAGGAAAGTATTGAAAAACCAGTGGCGGTCAGGGACCTAGGTCCAGGAAGCAGGCTTAGTGAAAACTGAGTTTGTTAACTCAAAAATGAGGGAAACTCTGGGTTTTCTGTTTTACAAAAGAGGGTTAACTTAAACTCAGAGTTAGCCTGTGAACTTAACCTGCTCACTGGCAGATTTTCTTCAACAAATTTCTCTCTGATTCCTCCTCTCAAAAGCTCAGAACAGAGATATTAATTTACAGAAGTTGATCTTTTTACAAATACTGAAATCCCAGTCAGATGTTACTTTGTAACACATCAACATAAACACTAGGAGTTCCCCTACATGTTACTGTTGCAAATACGGTTTCAATAAAATAATCTTTATGAAGCTTTAGAATGACTTTAAGATACTAAATGGGACTAAATTTAACTTAAAGTTACTTTTTAAATGCAGGTTTCAGACTGATACATTGAAATGCAGTAATTAAGAGCAACATCTGCCTAAGGTACCATGTCTAAAAAAGGTCATGTTTGAACTTTGTTCCACTGAACAAAGTTCAAAATTTACAAACACTTAGTGCTTTAGTTTCCTCTTCTGTTCTTGAAGTACATTTTCAAAGCCAGGACCAAAGGGCTCTAGCTTCCTGCCTGGAATAAACATAACTCAAACCCAAACAGTCATCAGTTGATAAGAAATATTTATTGTTTATGGCATATTTGCAGTACATTTTGTAAAGCTGTGTCACATTCTCTTATCATAAATCTTATTTTACAATCGCACGGAGGACAGAAAAGACTGCAGCGGGATGCCAACACTCCACAGGTTACTGGAAACAGAAATGCAGCGAAAATTGTTAAATCCGATAATTGTCCATGCAGCTGAAAATCAATTATATGGATCGACTGTGAGCATTTAAAGATTCAAGAGGTAAATAAGACCCAAGACACCAGGACTAAATGAGTACACGTCTGCATGACGTTCAAAGATGCACAAAAAATAAAAAATAAAATAAAATAATAATATATATATTTATATATAAGGTATTCTTCTTCCACATCTAAACATTAAGTCTGAATTAGAGTGGTTGTAGTAAAGATTTAGAAACGGACACCTAGGTGAAATGACATGATTAGATGCTGCTTTTGAGTTTCCTTCAAAATATACTCATATATTAATCTTTTTCAACAAACAGATTTTTTTAGTTTAAGTTCTTCTTATATTTCTATTCTAATCTTATTTACTTTTTCTGTTTAAATACATAAACACCCTGTTTTTAAGTACAGTGGAAGGACGGACTCGACCTAATGTGGAAAGCGGTGGAACTATACTACACTAAAAATGAAATTCTTTAAGTTTGGGCAATTATGTGATATATCTTGTCGCACAAATATACTCTTTTACTCCATTAGTGTCTCTCTAAGCGTCACACCCTTCAGCACCATTATCTTTCCCACTGACAGACACATTGTGTGTGATAAATGTGAATATTTACACTGTATACAGACAACAGATCCTGCAGAAAAACAGCTCACCTAACTGCTCAATCTCTCTCACCACTGCACCAGCAATGAAAATTCCTCATATACACACATTTCACTGTTTAAAAAATAATAATTTTGGAATCGGTGCAGCGCTTTTAAATTTAAAATGAAGAACACTTCAAACAGTCCAATGGCACGCAAAAGGCAAACTGTGTTAGCTTCACTGGTCCAGGGTTGAAGGAGGAGTGTGTTAACTGGACTCAGCAGTGACAGAGGCTGCTGATTCTAGGCTTTTTAAATACAGAATTGCACACTAGAACATCTTGATCATCTCGTCGCCAATCTTCCAGGTTTGTCCCTCACGCCGGATCTGTTTTCAGAACTCCTCGTGTACGTTTCTGGCATAATCCATGAGCTTGCTCCCTGTGAAGTACTCGCTGTACTTGAGAATCTCGTCCAGCTCCAAGCTATGGTTCTGGTTCTCGTCTGCAACAGCGATCATCTGCTTGGCCTCATTCAAAGCGTTGTGCTCATTCATCGGGTCCATGTACTCCTGAAAGATGAAACACGGAGAAACGGGAAAATATATCAGCTATACCTGCTGTAGCTATTTTGTTGGACATATGTAGGAATGTTTTTCTTCTGTCTCTACTAGTTTTTAAATCCTTCACGTTGTAAAGAACCAGCCGAGGGAGCTGGTACATCTGACCATGACCATGATGCCTACCTGGATACCTCCTGTTGGAGGTTTTCCAGCTACTCACAACGCAGATAATCATCATGAGGTCAAGAAAAGACGTGAAGGAGAATTTATAAGGACTATGAAGAGAAGCTTAATTATCAACTCCTTTTGAAAGTGTTAATAATTAAGAATATAAAATGTTGATATTTCAGCCCACATCTCATTGAGCTGTTTCATACAGGCCATATAAAGGAGAACTGCAGCTGGAACTTTTAAGGAAAAGTCACATATAAAGTGACATGTTAAATGTAATTTATCTTTTTCAGTAAGTCACTTTTTCTTTATATATATATATATATATATATATACATATACACACACACACACACACACGTTGATTTACTTTTTATTTTGATGTAATAATTATAAAAGTTCAAAGTATAAATGGAAGGGTTTCTTTTATTTTTTGCTTTTGTATTTTGCATTTTTTTCCTAATTTACTCACTCGCATCTTTAATCCTTTATCAAGGGTGGAACCATATAAAACAATATGTGTGAAAACTTGACAAAAAGTGACAAATGTAAAAAGCTAAAACATTGGAAAATATTAAATAGTGGTGGCATTTTCCAAGTTGCCAACAAAGTGTTAAAGGAGTGTAACCTGGCTCTGAACAACAACTTCACGGCTTCTTCCTTCCTGCCACGCTCCACCTCATTTTGTGAAATTGGCTTGGTGGCTTTGCATAACCTTGCTGACAACATCAGCTCAAACCCTGAAGTCCCAGGGCTCATTCGGAGCAGACTGTGATTACAACAAAACCTGTACTAATTAAATTTTAATTTCTCCAAATCACACTTAAGAGCTCACTCAGTTTTTCCATCATCTTTAATGTTAGTTTACTTTTTTATTTCCCATTGTTTATATACTTCTCAATTACCATATCTAGTATTTATGTTATGGCCTGGTTACGCTCGCTGTTGTGACTGCAGTTTGGTGTCGTTCTGGCTCGTCATCCACGTCTAAAGTTTTATGATCTTGCGTTGGTTGAAGACATGGGTGCATGACCAAGTCACTTTTTACTACCATATATAACATAAATAATATATAATACGTACAGGAGTTCAGAAATTCACAGAGGCAGGTAAGAGTTTGAAAAATTTAGGCATTCTAAACAAAAAAAAACAAGGAAAAAAAAAAACTTTGCTCCTCTTAGCTAACATGAACATTTTGTCTGAGTGGTGATTGTGGTGGCAGTGGAGAGTACTGCCATAAGTACTCATGCCTTCATCACTAGTATGTAATGGTACGGATCTGTGGCGACTGTTTGTGTGCAACGTGATTAATCCGGTGAGCATTATTGGACCCTTACTGATCAATTTGTTCTTTTCTGTGCTTTGATTTATGTAGAGATGTTGAGATCTGTTGTTTCTGTTAATCAGCTCAATCATTGTGTTTCTATTTGAAACAAATAAACAAAACCAATCAAATAATTATGTTGCATATCATTTCTGTATCTATCATGGTTATAGTTGCTTTTCCATCGCTCACCTCCAGCTCATCCATGGTTACGATGCCGTCGCGGTTCGAATCAATGACTTCCTCAAACTCCTTCTTCCTCTCTCTGACCCACTCATCTTCGATCTCTGCAGCCTGCTGGTTCTCCACAGTGCCCACGGGCAAAGAAATAAACTCCGACAGTGTCAGCCTCTTATCGCTGTCCTGGTCTGAAAAAAAAAAAAAACCCCAGAATTATACGGCGCACTGTTTAGATCAGCTGTCACAATGACCACAGAGTGAGCCAGCACAAAAACCTAACCTAACACCAGTTTAACAGTTACAGGGATCATAAAAGTATTTTGTTGTAGTACTGGCTGAGAAAGCTGCAGCCAATCAGTCCTTCACATGTTAAACTTCTAACCTGCATAATGTGTTTATCTTTATGTTAATAACTTCCTAGCATTAATCCCACACCCGCACATTTAGTTTGCTGGGATCTGGTGACACCATTATTATGACATAAATAAAGGAAAATATTAAATATTACATTAGCTGATGCCTTCCTCTGGTTTTTAACTGGGTTTTCTTTTTTTTTTAGTTCCATACGGAAAAGAAAGAACATACAAATAAATTGCCTGAAATGTTTACATTGTATAAGATTTCCTAATGACAGCAGCCCTGTTTGTTTCATGAGAAAAATGAAAAGTAAACATTACGCTGCATGAGAAAAATGCAAGTGGGGCCACTTTCAACTGCCAATCCTAGTATGAGAACGTTAAACATTTACTATAGGAGAAGATGGGAAATTAGGGAACGGGACATATTATTCTTTTTCCTAATGGGATGTAAATGAAAACCTGTTATATTTGGGCTTGAAATATCACTTAGATAAAACTAAGTTAATGCTTACTTCTGTGTGACAAAATGCCAACAGGTACAAACAGTGCTTGTCTGTGCAAACAGAGAGACCAAACCAGTTCTGTCAAATAAATATCTCAGTAATGCTTTTCATGCAAGAGCTTTAGTCTCTCTGTGAAAGAAAAACCACCAGGACTGAGATGAAAGGATTGTAAACCAGTATTTAATGAAGTGGGGTTAAATTTTCTCAAGAATAAAATACATTTCTGTTTATTAAATGGACAGACTTATATCTAATAAAGTAAAATAAGCTCATTTTAATTACATGTGGCTCAATTATGGTTAAGTTTGAGGTAACCTGTTATTTTTAAGCAGGAAACACCATGTACGTCTCTTGTATACACTTATTTTTTTATTTTCTTTCTAAATAAAATTACTATCCAGTTCTTCTCCACTATATGAGGTGTCTGAATGTTGTTCAGTGTTTTTAACATAATTTCCTTGTTATAATTCCTTCTCATCTCATCATCAGGTTTCTTTAAAAGCTATTCCAGCTCCACAACACAAAGCTTCTTGATAAAAACAAACAAACACTGGGACCTTTAGTGAATAAGGAGTGTTTGCCTCGGGAACAATAACTTCACCTCCAATTCTCAACTAAAAGGGAAGTGTAGGGAGGGACTGACTCTGAGTACATGAGTGTGCACCGTTGCCGCCCTTATGAATGCCATGGAGCAAAAGTTAGGTCACAACAGCAGATAAGCACAGTTTGTGCATGTGTGGCCGAGTTGGAGACACAAGTGCATGGAAAGGTTGGTCTTTACCAGCATTTCAGTGCAGGTTCTCACACTGTAGATTCCCAAATGACAGGAAGAGAAAGAGATGCTGCAACAGCTGTAAAAACTCAGGAAACTATTATCCTGTTTTGACTTCTTTTGTTCCTCTACCAGGAAAGCTGATGCTGTAGGTTTTCTGTCAGGAGAAGACTGCAGCCAGACTGACACAAGCAGCATACTCAAGCATCAGTATAAATGTTTACAGGGCTTTGAACATCTCACAGTTTCTGTTTCAAACAACCATTAAACGAGGCTTCAGGAGACCATGTTGATGTGCGGCATTCTCAAGCTCTCTTTTAACATGGAGCAATTTTACCCTCAAGAGACTCTTATTAAACTTGGTAGCTCGAGGACCACAATAATAATGAGCTGTATCAGTTCAAGTTGTTAACTCATGTCTCGTGATTGCCTAAAGCTAAGGCTTGCTCTATTTTTTCTCTGTCCCTCTCTCTATCAAATGAACTGTCCTGCTATCTAAGAAACTGTGAAGCGAAACATTTTAGCACAATGGTGCTGTAAATCCCTTAAAAAAAAAAAAAAAATCACCAAATCAGCCCTCCAAACACTAAAGAGAAGGTTACAGGTGGTGTGCGACTCTCTGATTGGATACATTAATTTCATAATGTAAAGCAATTCCAAACTCACTGCTGGAGTTTCATGGTTGAGGACGTTTTAAAACAGCCATGTGTGTGCAGTACACCTTTAAAGAAACATCTTTACACTATAATTCATTACATTGCCTTCTAATTTACTTTAGCTGATCTCAGATAAAACTCTTTTGTACTGGTCTTTATCACTATATTAGTGTCACTCCACACTTTGGACAACTAATAACCAACATAAAGCAACCTGTCCATTATTTTCTATCTGAAATCCAACCAGCATGTCAAACATCTGTACCACTCTACAGCTCACACTTCCAAATAATTTAACTCAACTTCTTCTTCATTACCCTTGTTTCCTCACGATTATATTACTACAACTCGTTGCATACATGTCGGCATGATGCTGCAGTTTCTGCAGTCAGTACAAAGCAGCGAAGGTCTCACAAAACACTCGAGTCCAGACCTCGCAGAAATCACCCAGTTTAAGATTTTCTTCAAAAAATCACTCCCTGGTCCAGCTATAATTTACATCTCAGTACTCCTAACACTTCATGCTACCTCCCGACCTCAGATCAGAGAATCAACTACAGATTCAAAGGCAAGTTTAAAGTAAACTTTACTGTAACGTTTTACTGTTTTAGTCCCAGTGCTGTAGAAAAAAAAACTTCCTCTTACTGAGAGATGAGTTCCTCATTTTTAAAAAAAAATTAGCAAAACTCACCATTTCAGGTTGATTTTGTAAGATGTTTAATAACGTTGTCCTGAATTTTTACTCTTGCCTTATATTACTCTTATTCTGTTGCATTTTCTTCTCTTTGACTTATTTTTTTAATGCAATGGCAATAAATATTTATTGCGATTAAAAGGTTGACTGTCTGTTAATCCTTAGGTTGCTCCACATCTGCTCAGTGTGTAAATACACCATTATCTTGTGACAGTACAACTATAAAGTAATATTTATAAGTAAAACATACCTAAGTCACGCACAATCTCCTTGACCATGTACTTGAGCATGCCTCTGCTGTGCTCAGGGTGAAGGAAAGACAAGAACTCCTCCTCATTCAGCAGCTGGTCAGCTGGAAGGTTGTCAGCCTGAAACCAGCGGTCCTTCAGGCTTTCCAGGACCTCCTGAGCTGTAGAGATGAAGATTGGATAAATATTAACACCACAGTCAGATTTACAGCAGAGCTTTCCAGATTTTACTTGCGACGGGAAAACCTCAACTTACTTTCCTCATCCAGTTTCAGATCTTCGTTATTCTTTATTTTCTCTGCAATCTCTTTCTCATTGAAACCTTTGCTGGCCAGAAACTTCACTCTGTATTCATCCCATGTCACGTGACCTACACACAACCCATGAAATCAGAATTTAGATTTGACCTGACAGGAAGTATTTTTAAGTCTGGGACATGGTCTGTGACTCTCACCATCGCCGTCTGGATCGACAGCACGGAAACTGTTCTTGTTCTCCTTCTTGGCTTCCTGAAAGTGCTCCTCCGTCTTCTCCATAATCCAGCGCTGCATTTCCTTGGCACTTATGCTCCTGTCCCTGTTGAAGTCGACCCTGTGAGGAAATCATTAAAATAATAAATTAGTTCCCAATTTAGCTCCAGTTCCTGAACATTAGCAGCGTCTCTACTCCATTAGGCGTCTAATTAAACGATGATAATGACCCACCTAAGGCTTTGTCTGTCTGGCTCACACATGTAAAAAACTTTAGCCCTGAAGTGACCGAGTGATTTATGACCCTGGCTGTATATTTACAGTGTATCTGCTTGTTTTTTCTATTATTATCATGAATTTGCTTCTCCGGCGTGAACAGGAATCTTTCCTCTTGCCATTTAAGCTGACAGATTAAAAACATCCAGGACAATGATAAGCTGCATGAATCATGTGACTCAGAAGAACCAGAGAATAAATTAGTTTCTTCCATTTAATAAATTCAGCCTTTAAGTTGTCTGCCTTTGTTTTTATCCGTTCATCCATCCATTTACTGACGCTTGGACTGGACCAAGCCAAGAGACTAAATCTCCTGGGTCTTCCTTGGGGCCTCCTTCAAATAGGACATGCTGAAAGACTGTGCTTAGGGGGTGTCCTGGTCAGATGCCTGAACCACCTCACCTAGCTCTTTACTTTTAGAAGAGGGGTAACTTTACTTTGATTCCCTTCTGAATGAACAAGCTCTTCACTCTCTCTAAAGAGTCCATTCGTCCTTTGGAGGAAGCTAGTTTACACCACTTGTATCCATGATCTAATTCTGGGTGGCAGTCACGGTTTGACCCCTGTCTGTCCAATACCCAATGACCAAAATTTGCTGGTTTGGAAAGCTTGGAAAAGACATCAGGTTGAATTATTTGTTTGTCATATTGCAACACAGGAATTTCCCAACCCTTGGGACCTCTTACATTAATGGTCTTATACTACTGAGAATTCGTCAAATAATGAAAGGAAATTTACTAAAATGATTTCAAAATAAAGGACCACTACATGAAGAAATATGTGCAAAGCTTGCTTTACTTGAGTATATTGCTTCATTGGATACAGCTGTGCTGCCTCATATTTCTGAAATGTGCCCTCTATGCAGATAAACATGTTGTGCAGTAAACAGCACAGCAAAAGGGTCCACAATAATACTACAACCTAGCACATAACAAAATCAAATGCACCTCTACAACAACCGTAGAAGGTACACATATATCATGGCCTAGGATATTTTTCCTAACACCTGGAATTTTAAGTCCTGCAACCCGGCTCCAAGTGTTTCTTGTGCTGGACGAGGCTCTCATCTTGTTACTGAGAGGCAAACTAATCAGCGGCCATTCTCTGCTTCTCCAGCTTTGTATTTTTACCATTTATGTGCAGCATGTCATGAGCCAAGTAAGAATGGCTCTCAGGCTAACTAAGACATTAAGCTTAGGAACATAGCAATATATTCATTTTTCATAGCAAGTAATCCAAGCTACGCAGCAATGTATTCATAATTGTTGGAGATGGGCTCCTCTCAGATGATCTTTTGTCTGAAGCTTTGTATGTAATCTTCCTACAATATGATGTTCCTTTTAGTGAGAACAATTAAACCCTCATCCTACAGCTTCCCTGTGCTAAAGTGTTTATATTAGCATATAAGGCTGGTTCCAAGTTAGTAGTCTTTAGCTTTCTGTCTATGTTTACTTCCAAAGTTATAGCAGTGCTGCATTTTTTAAAGAAATACTTCACCCAGAACCAAGCTATCCTCTTATATCAGCCCTGCTTAATCTCCTAAATCCTTTTTTTTCTTTTAATGCATGTGCGGACATTACACTTTATTGTAACACCTGTGAGAACAGCCACACTGGTCACTAGTCAGTATTTCTTTGCTTTTTTGAGCTGAAGGATGACGTTGACTTAACAACACTTGAATGCTTGGTTTATTGCGTCAAACTTGATCTGCAGCTATGCTTGAGCATCTTGCTCAGGAATGCCGTGACTCAAGTGCTATTCAGTGAATTAAAACCATGTCTTACTTGGTAAAAATTTCAATAAGCTTCTTTCTGTTCCTCCTCGGCTCTGAATCCTCCTCAAACTCCTCAATCTCCTTCCCCAGAAAAACCTCCTGATGGAAGTCCTTATTGAGGTGGCCATCCAGCTCCATCTTCAACCCGTTCAGGTGATCTGGGGGAAGAATCTCGTTCTCGTCTTTGCTGGGTGGAGACTTATCTTTAGAGGCTGACATGTTGGCTGGCCGTGCGTGCACATCGATGATGTGAAGGAGCATGTAGAAAAGCAGAGAAACAGCCAGGAGGTTTCTGCACCACAGTTTCCTCCAAACAGCCATGTTTACCTCTGGATGAAAGGTCAAAGCAGGGCTATAAAAATAATCAAGACAAAACAATTATTGTCCTGCTTTTTTTATGCACCAATTTTGCCTTTCCTTTATATAAATGTGCATTTCCCCTTCTCTAAAACCCCAAACCCATTCCTCAAAAGGTGGCAGCAGATTTATTTCAGCTTAAATTCTAGAACTATTTTCTTAAACGTTCAACAAATACAGGTTGTTGAGTTATCGTCATAGGTGTCATGCTGCCAGAGAACACTAGAAAACTGCCCCACTACTCCCTACCCCTAAAACTGAGGAAATAAAATATTTACTTATATCATAATCTGGCTGAAAAGAAGTCATAAGTTAAGACAATTATATGCAAGAAATCCAATAAATATAAACTAAAGGACAAAGGTGTTTTTATATGTGTATAAAGTGTGTTGATAGATTCAAGAAATCATCTGATAAACAATACTGAGGCAGAGTCTCTATTCCTCAGACCCTATCACCCTGTTTTATTTTTACCAGTGTTTTGTTCTTTTTAAATACCACAGCCATATCCATTTGCGTAGGCATTTGCCTATGGAAAGCTCTTTTCACCCTACAACAAACAGACCAGTAATACCACATTCTTTTTTAATCTCCATGGCGGTCTGTAGCTCCCTACAATGCTCTGCCAATCAAAAACCATGTTCAGCCCATTAATCTACAATATAGAGTCTACATTGTTGTCATCCAGATCCTTGATGAGATCTTCTCTGTCTCTGTTTAAACATCTACATGTAAATTATAGCCTCCACCATTGTCTGTTGTACCCTTCCATCCTCTTGAGCATCAGTATGAATGCTGTGCTTTTTCAGCGATTCAGTTTACATTTCTGGGTTGGTAAGGCCTTCATATATATGTTGCCATTTTCTCCTTTGCTCGTTTCAGTGCTGAAGACAACAACCCATTTCCTATTCTGTTTGAGGAGTATAATCACTCATATTTTAGTTTTGTTTTTTTTTTTTAAATTCTCTCCTACTCTGGTAAACTTACTGCATTAGTGTATTTAGGTTAATTCAATATTCCATGTGCTCATTTTAAATTAAATACCATTCAGGGTTCCAAAAAAAAAATACAAAAATGGGAAACGAACAAACAAAAATCAACTTCAGTGTCGCAACGACACAAATCGATACTTTCACAACTCAAACACGCCCACTTATAAACCAAGTAAATATTGTCAGAAATATGCATAAAGCCATTTTTCTGTACATTTTTTTTGCTGAAATATTGATCACGGGGACACAACAGAGAGGAAAATTGCACCAGATATGCACATAGTAATAAAAACCATGCAAAAATACGCAAAAGTTAAACAAACAAGCACCATCATAAATTAACACTGGTCAGCAAACTCACCAAAGCAAAATAAATTTAACGAATTTATTAGATCACTTAACAAAAAAAAAAATCCAGACTTATTAGCAGTTCATCAGTTATAAAACGAATAATAGACTTAATTATATAGTAAGTAAGGACATGTCTCCCCCCCTCCGAGCTACAAAAGGTTTACGTTACAAACGAACAGGAACGTTACTTATTTATTTTAACTCTGCCTAAACTCACATTTCTGCCTAATGTCCGCCTTAATATTCATTTGGGAGCTGAAAAGTTACACGAACACTAGCATTTTAGTAAAGCAAACAACAGCTAGCATGCTAGTTTAGCTTCGTCATGTCTTTTTTATACACTGGCGATTAGCACAGGCAGGCTAACACGTTAGCCCTCGTTGCTAAGGAACTAAAGTAACTGTTGTTATGGCAGTAAAGGAAGACAGTGATCGCAGAGATTAACAATACCTTAAAACATGACCAGAAAATGATTTGTAGATAAGTTCTGGACTTACCAGTTAGCTGTTAATACCAGTAGTAACTTTCTAGTCAAACAGACCTTCGCTGGTTCCTCCAGGTCCAGTTCCTGTACACGTGGCTCACCACACAACACTCTCTTTCCAAAGTGTGGGATGGTTCAGTCTGAAAACAAGCCCAGACAGACCCAGGTCAGTCGCCAAGTCCAAGCTGAGGTTCCAGTTAGTGTTAAAATTAAGAGAGGCTGTCTCTAACCGGACACCGTTGACAAGTACGCTGGATGACTGGGAATACAGGATAATTTCCGGTCAGCCCTTTCAAAGTAAAAGGATGGATGTGGGGGTGGGAGGAGTGTGGTATAAAAACTTAAATAGCGGTCCCGTGTGAAAAGGTGTTTGCTCCCTAAACCTTGTAACTGTTTGTGCCACTCCTAACAGCAGGAATTGGGTTTGTTTTTCGTATTATTATTCTGCTGTAAGCCAAGTGTGCTTGAGCTTTAGCGTATGAACTGATGAACATTCGGAATTCATGGTTCCAACTATTACAGCAAGTTGTCCAGACCATCAAATTACCACAACCATGTTTGACTGCTTGACTTTATATGAAAGGCCATGTTGGTTTTACACTAGATGTAACGGAAAGCTTGAATGTAACAGAATATTTCCCCAGAAGGATCATCAATTACTTTTTCACATAGAAATTACGTAGGTTTCAGGTGTGGAGAGCTTTTTTAAAATCATCATTTAAAAACTGTTTAATACTAAAATTTGACTGATGATATTAAAAAAAAATAAACAAATAAAATATATCATTAAAAACATTTAATTGTTTATACATTTATTATTTGTTTTTATTTAAATAAAAATAAATAAGAGATCAGGAAGGGGACAAAAACGTTTTCACAGCACTGTACATTGATAGCTCACAGATTCAGAAAAAATGGTAAATAAGTTAAAAAAGCAAAATATTAAAAAAATATATATCTTTAAACACTTAAAATTAATCCATAAATTAAAAGTTAGCTTATAGACAAAACTTTAAATAACTAAAAGAAACTGATACATAGCCCATGCAATAGATATAATTTTAAAAACAATTAAACACATACTAAAATGTAACATTTTTAGCTTTTGAGTATAATTAAATGACTAGAACAACAACAGATAAACAGTTATACAAATAAATAACAAAATAACTGACAGTAATGCTAAAAGTAACATTAAAATACTAATAAAGGTTTATCTTAAAAGTGGGAATAGTGCTAGATATAAGTAATCAGTGGTCTAAAATAGAAGTCACGAGCAAATTGCTAAAGCTAAAACAGAAAATATTTAAATTTAATAGATATTTAGAGTAAAGATAATTAATTTTTTAAAAAAAGTAAAGCATTAACAAAGGTTAGTTAAATGAAATCACTGTCAATATTGTAAACAAAAAGCAAATGCCAGGGAGCTAAGCTGAAAATTGAAATTAATATCTCAAAGCTTCAAGTTAGGCATCTTGAATTTACTAAGCCAAAAATGGAAAATATGAAAAATTGAAGAACCTAATGTCACTTTGAGATCTGTGTGTGTGTGTGTGTGTGTGTGTGTGTGTGTGTGTAATAAAATTAAAGCTATAAAAAGCACAAAACACACAAGAACCATAAAAACCATAAAACTTTACACATATTTTACTATTTGCTCCAAACTGCCAAACGTTATTTATTTATTTTTATTTTATGTTAAAAAGCGATACATGTGGCTGACTTTTTCCTTTTATTTTGAATTTAAGATTACGTATTTCCTGGACTGTTTTTGTCGTCTGCTGTTGAGCTTGGTGCTTCTTGGCTGCAACTTCCTGCTACGTCTTCGCACAAAAGGCAGGAAGCGAGATGTCACTGGTAAATGTTTGTATTTCACGCCGCTACCTCTAGGTGGCACTGCTTTAAAATGTAAAATTGGCAAACAAATGAAAGGGCAGTCTAAAAATTTAAGTTAAAAAAAAACAACAAAGTATGTGGTATGCACTCATGAGCTAACATGTTATTTATTAGAAACAATCTGGCAGGGTTGAATTCCTTTTTGATGAATGATTGTAGAAATACCCAGACCAGTAATTTATACACATCAGCCATGATTATTTAGTGAAACATGCAATTTCTACTCCTTTCCTCTGGGAGTATTCAAAGAATGGAACACCAACACTGAGTAAAACAAACAGGTATGTACTGCAGTCTAGATTTCTGTCCCTGGCATACTTTCAAACAACAGATTACACAAGATAATGCCTTAAGGTCACAAAAAGGTGCATGAATTAGTTTTTACTTCTAGCTCGGAGCTTTGGTAAATCAGGCCTGTATTGAGGCATAGACAACTTTGTACACATCCCATAACTTGTCTGCCAAGAAGCTCTTCAGAAGTGAGATAAAACAGAGCTGAATCAGCTGAGGCTAGAGAGAGAGAGTCAAAAGAGATGTGGGGAGAGAGAGAGAGAGAGAGAGAGAGAAGGACAGGGGGAGGGAGAATGGGTGATGATAAAACTCCACTGTGAGCCCTCCTGTAAGCTCAGTCAGAAAGCAAAGGAGCAGCTGGGACCAGAGAGGTAGGGAGTGCAGCGGAGCAAGGCAAAAAAAAAAAAAGAAAGAAAAAAAGAGACCCACCGGGCACTAAATCTCTGCACATGGACTTGTTGGGACAGTCAGTAGGCAGCACCTGAGTTACCACTTTAAGGAGAAAATAAGGCCAGCTAAGATCAATACAGGACTTCAACTGTCTTCTCTTTGGCATCCCCGTGGATGCACGCAGATTGATGTGAATGCTGATCTGCATCTTTTGATCTGAGCCCAACTTCTGTGGATATTGCAGCTTTTTCCAGCTACCACACCAGTCTGCTGGAGCCTGGACTCTATTGTTGAGTTTAAGAAGCAGCGGGGGCGAGCGAGGGAAAAGAGAATATTGCCATCCATCTCTAAGTCCCTACAGCCCACCCTCAGCTTTGGACGCCCCTCCTCTCAGCCTCTTCTTTTGCCCCCCTGTGCCCTCCACAACACCCCAACCCAACCCCCTTCAGCACCTCCACCCCCCCCCAACAGAGCAGAAAGCGTGAAAAATCTCACTAATGGGTTTATTTGCTGTCAGATCTCCACAGATCTGTCATTCCCTTGGACCATTCTGCTTGACACATTTCATAGTTGAGTAAGCCTCCTGGAAGTCTGGCTAGACTTAGCAGTGCCCCTGCAAACGCTGGGCTGTCTCAGAGCTCATCAAGAGGGGAGCAGCAGTCAGTCTGACAGTCTCTTGGACAGGGAGTCCCTGAAGCTGCATTCCTCCAGTCTCTTGTGTTTTTAAGCCTCGTGGGCATCTTCAGCTTGCGTCCAACCACACGACTGGTCCTTTTCCAGAAGATTCGGGTTGTTTCTGCAGGGATTCAGGTGCTGATTGAAAGACTGTGAAGATGTGGTGTGGGGCTATGCCTCTGGCCGTAGTGGCTGTGGTGTTCTGGACCCAGTGTGTCCTTCTAGATGGAGTGGATGCCAAGAAGGAGAGGAAGAGGCCAAAGGAGCCCACTCCACAGCATACAGAGACGTACAACACAACTCTATCCAACAGTGAAGAAGTTGGTGGGACCATCAAGGTATTAAATTCCAATGCAATTTCTTTTTTAATATATATTGAGGACTTCAGATTAGTTTAAAGTTGCCTTGCAGATATGTGACATATACCTGTCAGCACAGGCTGTATAGAAATAGATAAATAAAGTGTGGCAAAGGTCGGGGCAGGTGTGCCCTGCCAGGTCAGGCCTCATACAGTTTGACGGACCAAAATGTGTGAAGCTCTAAATAGATGACTTCCCAAGGCATGCCAGGAATGTGGACATCTAAAGGGTGATCAATGCGTCAATTAGTGTGCGCTGCGGGTGCCTGCCTCCAGTGTTTCAGCTTATGTGAACAATTCAGGGTGCAGTAAAGCGAGATGAGGTATTTACAAACCTTTCAACACAAGAACAATGTTTTTATTAGAAATGAATCCCGCTTACATAACAACATTGCTGCGGTACACTTCCATTTTCAGGAGCAACAGTCGGCCCTTGACTCTGTTATTTATTGGTTTATTGCTGGTGTTGCATATTTGTGAAACTTTCCAACAGGCTATTTGTTTTGCTTTGAGCCCACCCATTATGTTGGCATTCTCATGTAACTCTCACTGCCCTATATACCAGCCAGTCTCGCGGTAAACTCCACTCCTTTCCCCCCTTTTCTAGAAACCACACAGTGAGGTCTTCTTTGTGTCTCTAAGAACACTTTGTAGGTGGTTGTGGCCTGGCGCTGTTTATTTGACTTGGTTCGCCCAGTAAAAACAACAGCTATGAAGGATGACCTTGTGTCAGCCCTGAATCTTGCTGAAGATTGCACCCCACCGGGATCTCGCTGGTCTGCCTCGTCCCACAGGGAGCAGGGTGTCCTCACAAACACTGCTGCTCTTGGATTGCCTTGTAGGCAGTGATGTGACTCCTGGGAAAGTTAGCTGGAGAGGTATTATAGTACCTGTGGTGATGTTTTTCCCAGCCCATTGACGCTGTCATTCACAGGCCTACCCCGACTCCGCTGTGTCTGGGACATCCGATAGGGGCGGTGTGGCCCTGAAAACTGGGGCAGCATGCCGTGTAAGCCCCTCACAAAGCCCCATAGAAAGGGCCCTGAAAGGGAACACCTCTGTGAGGATTATCCCCCTTTGCCTCCCTCTCTAACATTCTTTTCATCTCATCTCCCACAATCACAGGGTAATGGCATAATCACTCTTAAGACGCAGTGTTATGCCCGACAGTGTCTTTGCCAAACACTGTCACCTCTGATAGAACCTGAGATTTAAGCGTGACATCTGTGGAAGAGGTTGCATTGAAGGTCGCATTTGTCAGTGCCACTCTTTCTGGGTTTCTTTTGGCGGGTATAGGGAAAAAGAAGAAAAAAAAAGCATGCCACACATCATGAAAAGTGGTAAACTTGCTTGTCTTGGGTAGTTTGTTAGTTTATCCTATTACACATCTGTTAGGGCTCAGAGAAAACAGCACGTCCATTGGAGCTGTCTTGGCAAGCAATTTGTATTCTCAAACAAGCCAAACATTTACACTCCAAATTTACATTTTTTCCCCCTTGTGCCCAGTGGAAACAGTTCTTATGATGGCATTCGTTTTCTATCTGACCAATCCTGTGTGTGGGCTGCTGGCAGTGGGCAGTCAAACCCTGCATTCCTCTGGAGATTTTCCATTTGAAAGTGATCACAACAGTGAGGTGTGGAGCTACGCTGTGAGAGGAATTCTTTTAA